AAAAAAAAAAAAAAAGTTGCATCGTAAATATATTTGTTTTATTTGTACTTACAAATGAGATAGAAATATATTTGATTTTGTTCAGGTTGGTGAGATAAAGTTTACGGTAAAAAGAAAATCATTGAAAATATAAAAAGCTAAGTTATATATTAGTTGATCGAAAAAAATAAACGTAAAGTAAATATAACGGATAAAATAACAGAGAAAATGGAAGACCTAAAAAAAAGTGAAATTAAATGAATTACATGTTAAAATAAACTATATTTAGTTCATCACTGACCGAAAAAAAATAAAATGGAAAAAAAAATAAAAATAGAAAAAGATAAAAAGAAAAAATATATATATTAGCAGAGGAAGAAATAATAATAAGAGAACGAACCGAAAGAAGAATAACCACGCCCATTTTTTTTTTTTTTTTTTTTTTTTTTTTATCTCTGACTCAGATCCAGTTTGACTTCCCTTTCCCTGCCTCCCCCCCCCCCCTCCCCCCCTTACGTACCCTCTTTCCTCTCACTTCTTCCCCTTCCCTTTTTTTTTCTTATTTTCTCTTCTCCCTTTCTTCTCTCTTCTCCTCTTCTCTCTCTTCTCCCTTTCTTATTTACTCTCTTGCCTTTCGCTTCTCTCTCCCTTCCTTATTTTCTTCGTCTTTCTCTCTCTCGTTCTCTCTTCTCCTTCTTCCATCTTTATCCACTTCCTACTTTCCCCCCTCTCTCCTTCCTCCTTCTTCCTCTCCTCTCTCTCTCCCTATCTCCCCTCTTCCATTCCCACTCGTTCCTCTTCTTCCTATACTTTTAATCCTCTTCCCTTTCCTCCTTCTAACCCCCCTCCCTCCCCCCCCCCCCCACTGAACAACCCTTCCCCCTTCCCTTCTAACAAATAAAAGTTCGGGAGGGGGGGGTACAGGGGAGGAGGGGGAGGGGGGTACAGGAGGAGGGGAGGGGGGGTGGGGGGTACAGGAGGAGGGGGAGGGGTAAAGGGCGGTTGAAAAGGGGGGGGGTACAAGAACTTTCTAGATTTTTGAGTGCAAGGAATTCAGTTAAACATGATAAGGCAAACAGTTGCATGTGTTTTGGTCGCAAAAAAAAAAAAAAAAAAGAAAAAGAAAAAAAAAGCAACTTTGGAAATTGTTTGATACAGCAAAATTGCAAGAGTTAATATGGCAATAATGTTGGTATTTTGGTTTGGCAATATTAGGACTATTTGATAAGACAATAATAACGGTATTTGATATGGCAGTAAAGATGGTGCTTGATATGGCAACAGTGGTGGTATTGGATATGGCAATAATGTTGGGATTTTGTATGGCAGTTAAGGTAATATCTAATATAGAAATACTGGTGGTATTTCGCATGGCAATAATGTTGGTATGGCAAAGAAAGCAACATTCAATGATATTAATGGCATTTGATATAGCAATAATGGTGTAATAGATATGTAATTTTTAAATTAGTTTTATTCAGTTTCCTTTTGTTTTTGTTATTAGTTACTTGCACTACCGTTAATGCATTATTATTTTGATCATTTTAATAATTCACTAATGGAAATAATCTAAAACTTTTGAAAGATCCAAATGAATATGAACTGACATCCTTTCAGAAAATGAAGGGAGAGAAAAAAAATCTGAATTTAGAAAAATCGTATGAAATAGACTATGCGAAAAAGAAAAGAATAGGAAGATGAAGAGAAAAATAAAAAGAAAGACAAAAAGCAAAATTTCTTAGTGCAAAGACGAAAAGAAGAAAGAAAGAAAGAAAGTAAACAACTGATATACTTAACAGAAAGAAGAAAATAATCAACAATAAAATTATCAATAAAGAAAACAAGGATGCCAACCTCAAAGCTAGATTGGCATCACAATATATATATATATATAGATAGATAGATAGATAGATAGATAAATATTTAATAGTGCTATAGCGTGCTAACTGATCATTTAGAAATTAATAGGATGAGTATCTGTGTGTATGGAGAGGTAGAGAGAGGGGGAAGGAAGAGAGAGGAAAGAGGGGAGAGAGGGGAGAGGGGAGAGAGGGGAAAGAGGGAAGAGAGGGAAGACAGGGGGAAAGAATGAGGGGTTTGTCTATTAAATCGTCAGCTTTGGGTCTGTGAAAGAGGGGAAAATATTTGGCGATGAACGTATGAATTTGATTATGAGAGGGAGGAAGGAAGAAGGAAGAGAAAGAAGGAAGGATGGAAGGAAATAAGTAGGGAAAAGAAGGAAGAACGGAGGGAAAGAAGGAGGAGACAAGAAGGAGGAAGGAAGGAAGGAAGGAAGGAAGAAGGAAGGAAGGAGGGGAAGGAGGGGGAGGGAAGGGAAGGGGAGGAAGGATTAGAAGGAAGGAAGGAAGTAGGGAAAGAAGGAAGGAGGGAGGAAAGGATTAGAAGGGAGAGGGAGGGAGGGAAGGAGGAAAACAGATTCATAGATGAATATATATATATATATATATATATAATATATATATATATATTATATATAATAATATATATATATATATATATATATGTAGACATACAAATATCTAGCAAGCTAGTTAGATATAGATATAGGGATATCGATAGATAGAGAAATAAATTTAGAGAGAGAGACAGATAGACAGATATATATAGACAGATAGTTAAATAGATAGATAGAGAAATAGATTTAGAGACAGAGACAGATATATATAGACAGATAGTTAAATAGATAGATAGAGAAATAAATTTAGAGACAGAGACAGAGACACAGAGACAGATATATATAGACAGATAGTTAAATAGATAGATAGAGAAATAGATTTAGAGACAGAGACAGATAGATATAGACAGATAGTTAAATAGATAGATAGAGAAATAGATTTAGAGACAGAGACAGATATATATAGACAGATAGTTAAATAGATAGATAGATAGAGAAATAGATTTAGAGACAGAGACAGATAGACAGATATCTATATAGACAGATAGTTAAACAGATAGATAGAGAAATAAATTTAGAGACAGAGACAGATAGATAGATAGATATAGACAGATAGTTAAATAGATAGATAGAGAATTAGATTTAGAGACAGAGACAGATATATATATATATATATATATATTATATATATATATATATATATATATATATATATATATATATATATATATATATATATATATATATATATATATATATATATATAGACAGATAGTTAAATAGATAGATAGAGAAATAGATTTAGAGACAGAGACAGATAGATATATATAGACACATAGTTAAATAGATAGAGAGAGAGAAAGGGAGATTATGCAAACCTCGATAATGGTCTAGTGATTGTACCATGAAATTAATTCCTAAACTAATTATACACTCTCACCTGGATTAATTAATCCGATCTACGACTATCTCGACGAAGACAAAGAAGTGGAAGAAGAAGAAGAAGAAGAAGGAGAAGAAGAAGAAGGAGAAGGAGGAGACGTAGATACTGAAGAGACGAATAGAATGAAAGGAAAAGGAGGAAGTAGAGAGAGAAGAAGCAAAGAAGAAAGAAGAAAGAAGAAGAAGAATTGGATGCTAAGAAGATAAATAGAATGAAAAGGGAAAGAAAGAGAAATATTAAGAAGACGATTAATAAGAAGAAAAAGAAAAAGAAAAACAAACAAACATAGGTACTGCAGAAACGAATATGACGAAAAGCAAAAGAAAAAAGAAAGGGAAAGGGAAAGAATAAGAAGATAACATTCCATCTTAATTGTTGCCATGCACGCCACCAACAAGGGTGATCATGGCAACACTGTCTATGCTAGGACGAAAGCGCTCTAGATTTTTTTTTTTTTTTTGTCTGGGAACAAAAATCTTAATAGCAAGATACAGAATCAGTAACAAACACATACACTTAATTCGCTATGGTATATTCTTAATGATCTTGAAGAGTCTAACTATTCTTAATTCTCAAGCTTGTTTTACTGTTAGTAACCGAAAAAAACATTGTTTCTATAATATTTTTTTCGTGTATTTACTTTCTGATATGAAGTCTAATGGTCGAGGTAGGTGTTTTCATGTTATTATTCTACTAATGATGTAGAAATGATAAGTTCACTAACGATAACGATATAAAACGATACTAATTTGTTATCGGATATGCATAGCCATGTCTAGAGGAAGGATAACAAGAGTATAATCTTTTTAAATTGAGATAAACAAGCTCAGATTTTTTCGGTCTAAAACAATTGGCAGCTAATTTTAACTTAACATATTTTATTCTTCAATTACCAAAGTAATGATCAATATATATATATATATATATATATATATATATATATATATATATATATATATATATATATATATAATTGGTTGAACTTATTTTCTCACACGCATAAAAATATTTGCACTCAAGACAAAAGACCTGACACACACACACATACACACTCACACACACACACACACACTACTTAACCACACACACTAACACACACACACACACACACACACACACCACACACACATTAAGCACACACACACTAACAAACACACACACACACACACACACCCTCACTGACACACGCACACACACACACACACACACACACACACACACACACACACACCCACCCTCACTGACACACACACACACAGACACTACACAACCACACACACACACGCTAACACACAGGCACACACACACACATAGACACTACACAACCACGCACAAATACACACACACACACACACACACACACACACACACACACACACACACACACACACACACACACACACACACACACACACAACACACACACACACACACACACACACACACACACACACACACACACACACACACAACACACACACACACACACACACACACACACACACACGCACACAATAATTAACAAGCCTATTCTCCAAAGCCTCAACAAGCACTTAGCGTTACGAAGAAGCACTGGAGGTGTGTCTTTCAACTTCCACTGTTCCACGTACCGTATCCATGGTGGACGGACGTCGAGTGTTCATCTGGAACCGTGGATGGGCA